CAAGATCGGCACGTTACGACACAGATCCGACGGATCTGTGTCGTAATACAGTTTTCCGGCCAGATTCCGGCGATGGTGGCCGGAATCTGGCACTTGCCGGTGGGGGGTGTTTTTGTTATTTTATAAAACTTTTATATATTGGGGTATTTAGTGAAATTTGTAAACTTAGGGGGTTTTTTGAAATTTTTAAATTTATAAAAAAACAAAAATTGAAACTTTGAAGGGCATTTTAGTCTTTTCACTATTAATAAACAAAAATCACTAACAGAATATGACGGAAGATACCTATTTGTCGTTTTAAAACCTTTTGGGTACCAACTTGTCATTACAGTAAACTTTGGGTATGTACAAGTCGTTCGCCCCTAAAACAATTATGCAACAAAACAATATGATGCCCTTGAAATTACTTAATTATAATTATAGCATAATAGGAAGGACAAGAACAGTTGTCCAAAAGAGTCAAATAGATAAATACACAGGTTAAGGAATGAAGATAATACATAGCGTGGCTGTTTGTGGGTTGGTTGCGTGCGCAGCTGCGTTTCATATTTAATTTTATCATATTTAAATTAAAATTGAATATGGGTATTTAATTAAATTAAATATTTAAATTAAAAGAAATAAAAGAACGTGTTACCCAATCTTACGATTTGATAAGGACAAAGACAGGAATTAGAAAAAGGCATAAAGCAGATTCCCTTCTTCAATTTCTTTTTATTTAATAAAAATTTAAGGTCAGTTCGGGCAGGCAGTAATGAACAGCTGTTAGGGCATCTCCAACCCTGCGTTATTTTGGTGACAGCTGTTAGGGCATCTCCAATACACCAAAATGACGCAAATTTGAAGTCCAATCCAGCGCTATTTGCTGCGACAAATAGGTGTGAAGCTACAGTATGACGTCAAATTTGATGCAGCACGTAACTTCCTACCAAATGGGTGTAGTACTGTAGCATTATTAAATTTTTTTCTATTTTTTTAATTTTGTTAAGTTAATTTGGTTATTAAATTCTACATCAAAAATCATACAAAATTTGATTATTTATATTTAAGTTAATTTAATTATTATTTATATTAATATTTATAGTAATAAATTCATAATAATGATATAATTCAAAAAATGATGAAAAATAAAAAACATAACTTTATTCAATGCAAATATTAAACTAGACTAACTCAAAATAAAAATTAACACTAATTTAAAAGCACTAAAATTAAAAGAACAGATGGAAACGTCAACTCTCGAAGATAAAATTGTTGTAGATAAAAATATCCGATTTCAAAATTTTCTTGCTCGATATAGACAAATCAAGAGTAAAGAGACTCGAAAAAGAAATAGAATATTCTAAACAATATTCATTTTGGTGTAATATTTGGTGCAATAAGTTGGAAATGTAATAGTATTTTACAGTAAAAATCACACCAATTTGGTGCAATGGGTTGGAGATGGTCTTGAAGTTGGGACAAGTAACTATGTGTACGGATATCACTCGCTCATATATAACATCAAAATCCTCAGTCCATAATTTGTTTCGCAGGTTTAGTTGAGTTCTTTATAAAGTATGATATGCATTTTCTAATTTCAACTATTTTTGTTGCCAAAATAAACGAAAAATATAATTGTTTTATAATATCTTCTTTTTATTTGTGTTTGATTTATTAGCAATTTTTTTTAATATTTTTAAAATAACAAAATTCTTGTGTTATTAATAATAAGTTATTAAAATTATATTATTATAAATGAATGAAATATTTTCAACATCATTTAATGAGGAGAGATGCTTTTATAGTTTTATTACTTCACGTGCATGATAGAAATCTTTATCATTTGATCAACCTCTTTCTTCACAGCATAGTATAATTCAATAAATATTTGTAGGTCCACAGAAAATCAACAAAGTGAAAGGGTCATAATGTAAAATAGAGAAATGATAATAAATTTAATGTTTCGTGGTGTTGGATCTGATGCGAAGAGGAGAACGGGAACTATGGTTATGATGAGATTAAGTAATCAGAGGACAATTATAATGACTCTCTCACTGGCTAGCGGACTCGTAAAATAACAGTAAAATTTATTAAATATATATATTATAAAAATATATATGTAGATGAGTATAAAATAATAGACCCAATTTTTGCTCTTACACTTTTTATGAAATTCTATCTATGTCCCTTAGTCAATTATAATAATGCCCTCATTTTTATTAACTTCTCAATAAAATTCTATCTCTTTTCACTCTCTATTTTTTTAACTAATTATGAATAAAAAGACCATTTTACCCCTAATAAAATTTTAAGGTATTTTCTTCACACTTGTTCAAGATACCTTTCAATTAAGGGTATTAGGGAATACATAAAGCTACGTATCTCGATGTGAGCGTTACAATTCTCCTCCCCCCCCCCCCCCCCCCCCCCCCCCCCCCCCCCCCCCCCAAATACAAGAATTTCGTCTTTGAAATTCAAACGAACAACTTAGGGTGGACGTTCCATTCAGAAATGCTGAGTGGCTGAAGCAAACCTGATGGTCTTTGGTGTTTTACTTTCACCTATTGACAAACCAAGCACTTAGCCACATAATCTCCAATATCTTTCTTCATATCTGGTCAACAATAACTTTTCTTTAAATCTTGATACATCTTGGTTCCTCCAGGATGAGCAGTGTATGATATTCCTAATAATTAAGTCAGATTCTTCACTATTATTTTCACCTGCATCTTCATCTTCATCTTCTTTATTTATTTATTTTATTATTATTATTTTTTATTTACTACTTTCTTTGGAATGAATAAATTCCCTTGTTATTCTCTGCATGCAAAGATATTGATGAGTAGGAGAGTTGGTAGTAATGTTACCGAGATAAATCTCATTATCTTAATAGAGAATAATACTATACATACATTATTTTCATACAACATTATGTGATAAGATATGATTAGATGAAAGTTTAATTTTAACTTTAAATTAGTCAATTATATCTTGTCACATAATGTTGTAAGAAAAATATTGTATAAAAATGATATATGTGTAGTATTACTTCTTAATAAAACTTCAAAAGGGCAGGTAGAGAGAGAGAGAGAAAAGTTGGAAACTACCAATTATATCAAAGTATATAAACAATCTTGGCAGTATAAATCGGGGATGGAGAAGTGTGCTTTAATTACGGGGTTTCTTTATGGTCAAGAGACATAAAAGAATCCACATTTTGACATGATTATTAGATACATTTTAAAAGAATCCACATTTCCAATGGCCGCCACTCATTTTTTATTCATTCCTTCGTTTTCTTTTAGCAAACTAAATCTTTTGCTTTTATCTTTTTTCTCAAAGTCCTTCTTACAATCATAAACATTTTCCTCCTAACCTAAAGTGACAAAGAAGGACTCATTTTTAAATCTCTCTTTTCGATAATGTAAAATTGAAAAAACAAATGACCCTTTACATTAAACGCTCTTTCTTACATTACTTCCTTTTTAAGAAGCACACTACTTGTTCGAATCTGACTGTATTATCATCTTCAGCATCGCAGAAACAGTTTTTTGATCGGTTTTAAAATCTTTATATATACCCCTAATACTTAATGTCACGTGATAATCAGCACTACTTCTTTGAAACTAAACACGTGACATTCAAAGATCACACGAAAGAGAGTTTTAAAAATTAAGCGTGAAATTGTCGGTTCTGCAACCATAAAAACTACAAATTATAAAATACTTACCATTATTTTATGTACTATAAAATACATTACTATTATTTTATGTAATATAAAATACATTACCATTATTTTATGTGTTAGTTTATGTGTTATAAAATACATACCATTATTTTATGTACTATAAAATACATTACTATTATTTTATGTAATATAAAATACATTACCTTTGTTTTATGTGTCAGTTTATAAAATATAAAACACATATCATTGTTTTATGTATTATAAAATACATTACCATTATTTTATGTATTACAAAATGCATTACCATTTTTTATGTATTATAAAATACACAACATAAATTTGATTCTCACTTTCATGGCGTCTTCTAAAAACTCGAAGCATGAGAGCACAATTGAATAATTGGTGGTTATAATAGTTCTTTTTTTAAAGTCAAATTACTACTATTCAACGAATAATTGAATAATTGGTCGTAACATTCTCTGGACTCAATATTTAACGAATTCTCAAAGGACAGAGAAAACCAACACCGAACCCAAACATGTCAATTTCCCATCTAACAAATTTTCCTCCCGATTCAACATAAATATTTTATTTTCTAGAAATTGTTTCTGGTTTAAGGTTAATACTAATCACATAATCAAAAAATCAAGCTAAATTCTATTTATTCCACCATAATATTTGGTGGAATATTAATCCAAGTAATAATGAATAGATTGGGTCCTTACTTTACATGCTAGTTGAAATGATAGATCAAATGGTGTTTGAATTGAATTTGAGGCACTCTAATGGGCAGTTAATCACTCGAAACTTAATTACCTAACCACCAAAACTCGTAACTGCTGGAATCCCGCAAACCCTGAAATTGGGAAGCACTGAGGACCCACATGTTTACTTTAATCAGGCCCCGCTTTAGTATAAACTATATAAACCCCTTTCCGCTTCTAATTTCTCACCACTCTCCTTTTTCTTCCTCATTACTCTTTCTCTCTGTACTGTCCTGTGAAGAAGACGGAAAATGAAAATGCCAATCCCTCCTGTTTCTTCCTCTCCAGTCTCCTCTTCCTGTCCCCAGCTCTCATTTGCTCCTCCCCTATCCAAATAACAATCCAGAGCGCTTCATGAAAACGCAGTCGTTGCCTTACCGCAGGGGAAAATGTGATCAGGAGTTCATCAATTCACTAATAAGAACCTGATTTACAGAAGGAATTCTTATTAGTGGCATTGATGAATTCCCTCACTTTTTCTCTAAGAAACAAAGGGTCTTTTTAGTTCTTTGGTTTTGAATATATCAGATAACTTTTCAGCTTCTCAATTTCTTTTTTGTAGGTATATGAGTTACCTCTACCCCCAGTTTTATGATCACTCATGTCCCAAAGCTCAACAGATAGTGAAGTCCATTGTGGCTAAGGCTGTTGCAAAAGAAACCCGCCCGGTGCTTCCTTGGTGAGGCTCCATTTCCATGACTGTTTTGTAAAGGTCTGCTACTTCCCAGTGTCATGATCACTCGTGTCCCAAAGCTCAACAGATAGTGAAGTCCATTGTGGCTAAGGCTGTTACAAAAGAAACCCGCACGGTGCTTCTTTGGTGAGGCTCCATTTCCATGACTGTTTTGTAAAGGTCTGCTACTTCCCCAAAACTCTCATTTCATTTTCTTAAATTCATTCATAAAAATTTCACAACTTCATTTTCCATGTATGAATTGTACTTCACACTGTATGGTCAATTTTTATAGGGCTGTGATGCATCACTATTGTTAGATAGCAGTGGCACCATAATTAGTGAGAAAAGGTCCAATCCTAACTGGGATTCAGCCAGGGGATTTGAAGTCCTCGATGAGATCAAATCTGCACTTGAGAAGGAATGTCCTCAGACAGTATCCTGTGCTGATATCTTGGCTCTAGCTGCGAGAGATTCCACTGTCCTGGTAAGTCTTAATATTTTAGCCTTGTTACTTAACCAAACTGGCCTTGCAATATGGCCAAATCTCACCAATTTTTGCATGTCCAGACTGGTGGTCCTAGCTGGGAGGTTCCATTAGGAAGAAGAGACTCCAGAGGTGCAAGTTTGAGTGGCTCTAACAATAACATTCCTGCTCCAAACAACAAAGGGAACCTTTATTCAGCTCCACTTCGCGTACGCCAATGCTCCAAACATGTACACCATCCTGGTATTTGATTTGGACACTGGCAAAATTGTGGGCTATGATGTGTGGCTTGGAGCTTGCAACAGGCAGTTAATTAGACCCTAATTGTCCTTTTTGTAAAGTGAAGTTACTGCCAACATAAATGGATGGATCCAATATTAATATTAATCTCACAGATTTAGCAACACTCTTAGGCACATGGATGCATGGATCCACCCAATTGCATGGTTGTCCCAGAAAGTGTAATGTTGATAAGAACAAATGAACATATTTTCGTCAAAACAAGTTGATCATTAAAATAATGAGAAGAAAACAGTACTAAATCGTTGAATTTCATGTAATTAGCTACGTGTTTAGATTGCTTTAAGTATGTGGTGGCGGTCCTAATAAAACTTGTAAAGGAGAGAGAGAGAGAGAGAGAGAGAGAAGTTGGAAACTACGTACCAATTATATTCTGCTTCTAAAATTTTCTACATTGTTTTTGTTTTTTTCCATTATAGATTTTATATTTAAATCTGATTGTTTAATTTAATCTCTTCACATACCCATAAAAATCAAACTAACAAAATACTACATTCAACAATATCAACATTTTTACTAGTACTAAATGAAAAGAAAAGAAAAACTCAATTAATAGCTTCATTGCAAATACATCCACCATCCATTAAAATCATCGTCACATTGTCCTCTAATTAATGAGCTAAACAAGAATAAATTTTTAATGACCGATTTGAAAATTCTGTTCAAGTGTTTGCGCTACCTAATATTAAAGGTTAGAATATTAATCCAAGTAATAATGAATAGATTGGGCCCTTACTTTACATGCTAGTTGAAATGATAGATCAAATGGTGTTTATTATTATAGCTTGAATTGATTTTGAGGCACTCTAATGGGCAGTTGAGCTGACGACCCAATAAAGTTTATGTTATGATAATTATTATCAATTAGATTTTGACAGGTTTTCACCTAACCACCAAAACTCAACAGCTGGAATCCCGCAAACCCTGAAATTAGGAAGCACAGAGGACCCACATGTTTACTTTAATCACGCACGCCTTTAGAATACTCTATATATAATATACCCCCAGCCCTAATTTCTCACCACTCTCCACTTCTTTCTCTCTCTACTGTTTAGTGAAGAAGAGGGAAAATGAAAATGCCAATCCCTCCTGTTTCTTCCTCTTCAATCTCCTCTTCCTGTCCCCAGCTCTCATTTCCTCCTCCCCTGTTCAAATAACAATCCAGAGCGTTTCATGAAAACACAGTCGTTGCCTTACCGTAGAGGACAATGTGATGATGAGCTCATCAATTCACTAGTAAGGACTTGGCTTGACCTTGGCCATGTCTTGGCATCCATGGGCAGCAAAATCAGTCAACAAACCCCATGATGGGCAGTGTTTCCGCAAGCAACAAGCAACTGAGGGGCTGCTTGGTCATGCCTTGGCTCTTGGCCATGCCTTAGCTTTGGCCTTGGCCTTGCCCTTGGTGGCCATGCCTTGGCACCCATGGGCAGCAAAATCGGTCAACAAACCCCATGATGGGCAGTGTTTCCGCAATCAACAAGCAACTGAGGGTATATATGAGGTTGGTGATGGGCTCCACAAACTATCATCACATGCATGCATGCCCTATAAAATTATCTTAACCTTATATGTTGATTTAGATATAACTAAGGGAGGAAGTTATTGATTTCCTTTTAGTGGGTCAAATCATCCCACGAAATTTAATTCAATAATTGCAAAACCAGCTGTATTAGGTTGACTAGTCAGAATCTTCCAAAAGTATAAAAAAATAGTCAGAAATATGAAATATCTTGTTTTTCAGAGCCATGTCAGCTAACTTCTCTCAATTAGGAACAAATTAGGTATTCCAGCTTTTCACGCTTTGCGTCTGATTGTATTATATGGATAATATAAAATTGAAAAAACACCTCCCAAGCCATCTGCTTATAATCCCAACCCAACTCCATTAAATCCAAGCCCAAGGAGATGCCATGCCCATAGCCCATTTCCATAAATAAACAACCAACTATCCAAAACCCAGCTCCCTCACCAGACCCATCTTCTTGTAAGGGTCAAACGGGTGTTTATGTAATAAGAGGACTTAAACTCAATGTGAAGATTTATAGTAGATTATCATCCACCCTTATTACTTTAATGTTATTTTAGTCAGCTGTATTAGGTTGACTAGTCAGCACTTTGCTCATGGGGTTGCTTTCAGGTTCAAAATTCTTAACTTAATGAAGAAGTAAACTAGTTTTTCCTTAGTTAAAAAGGCCAAGTCTAATTACATATATATATGTTTGTTCTATGATACAATAATCTATTAGTTCTTGTAATTTTTTTATGCATTTTCAGGCAGTAGGTCATGGGATTTCTAGTACATTTCTAGATAAATTTCTCGAAGTTTCAAGGAGATACTTCGAACAGCCCATGGAAGAGAAGAAGAAGCAAGCGAAAGGAGTTGAAGATTTCGAAGGCTATGGAGCTGACCCTGTACCTGAAGAAGGTCAATTCTTGGATTAGTAAAAAAGGCTCTTCCTTGAAGTATACCCAGAAGATCGAAGGAATCCTAAATTATGGCCAGAAAAACCAGAATCTTTCAGGTGCTTTCATGCTCCCCATGTCTCAGGTGGCTAAATACACATATCAAGATGACATTAGAAAATTTCTGAATTTTTTTGGTCATCCAAATTCTTGATTGTTTTGCTATTTTTGTCATGTATGAACCATTACAAATTACAAATGCGCTGAGGTATATTAGAAGAATACTCTATAAAGATGAAAAAGGTGACAGAGCTCACTTCCAAAGCAATGGCAAAGTCATTAAACATAGAAGAAAATTGCTTCTTGACACAGTTTGGCGAAGGAGCACAGCACAAAGCAAGGTTTAACTACTACTCACGTTGCCAAAGACCTGATCTTGTTCTAGGCTTAAAACCACATTCAGATGTGTCTGGCTTCACTATTATACTGATGGATGAAGAAGGTCTTCAAGTCCTCAAAGATGAGCAGAGGTTTACAGTACCTAAAATCACTGAAGCTCTCCTAGTCCTCATGGGCGATCAAATGGAGGTATATATTTCTGTTAACTTGTTTGATAATCTAAAGTTGCCGTTTCATATGTTACCTTACACACAACAAAATGAGTTTGTATCAGTGAACTGCTGCTTTCAAAGTTGCACAGCGCTTCCAATTCGAGTACTATGAACTGGAAGCGCATAAAAAATGACTGGTCTGCAGAACATTTCTTAAAGAATCTGCTCCATCAAAATTCTCAAACAATGAATAGAAATTGGAGAGATACATTTATGAAGATTATATATATCTGGAGATGTTATATTGTCACATTTTGTAACTAGCTAGCCAATGACTTGCAGATAATGACTAATGGGATATTCAAGAGCCCAGTGCATAGGGTGGTGACCAGCTCAGAAAGGGAGAGGATTTCCATCGCTGTTTTCTCTTCACCTGAAGCAAACAAAGAGATTGGACCAGAAGATGGATTAATCAATGAAGAAACACCAAGATTATTCAAGAATGTGAAAGGCTACGCTGATAGATACCAGGGATACTACAAGAAAGGACAAAGAGCACTTCATGTTGCAAAAGTGTGATATTATACTGTACTGTTCAGTGTTTTGCACAAATTGATAGCGTAGTTATTATTATGGGAGAAATCTTCACCTGTACATGTTTATTCTCTCTCGTTTAGGCTGTACAGGAAGATGCTTAATTTAGATGTCACAATACTTATCTTAATGAAATCTCTCCTTTTCATCCTTTTTAGGGTGATCCTTCACTGTTGTGATTCTGTATTTCTCTAAAACTCAACATTCAAACTCTCTCTCAAAAGTTCAAACTTTGTTATACGTTTTCTAAGTGCATCTGGTACACTGCAATAAATTTATGATTCTGTATTAACTATGAGTCTATGAAGGCCAAATTAAAGGCATAGTCTTGTTCCTCGTTTTTGCAACTTATTATAACCAAAACGCCCCTTTTTCGCTAATCTCAATTAGCTCATTTGCCTAACCACAACTTCTAACAAATGATTAACAGTATTGAAATTGGAAATGCTAAAACAAAACTGGAAATTCAATAAAACAAGAATCTTATCATAGCACCCATCATACTGAATTATTCCCCAATCGTCCCAATAGATCTGCCACTCAGCAAAAATGAACTAGGTTTCTCAGAGGATAGCAACGTAAAATTAGCCTATCAGTATTAGTTTTTTAGTGATAGATGCTCCACTGTCCTCGAGCATGATGCATATAAAGGCTCCCTAGCCTCAAATAAAGACCACTCCACACCACAGAGTATCCTCTATCCTAGGAAGTTCGACGATTGCTTAGATGACTTCAACAGCAAATTCATAAAAATTGTGTAAACTGAATCCTAGAGGAAAGAACTAAAACGCAAGAAAAGGATGTACCCTTCATTCTTTCAAGTTGAAGTTTATCATTCTATGAAATACATAACATACTTGGCTATTCTTGAAAGTTCAGCCACAGGCCATCACAAGGAACATTCTCAAAAGACTTCCAGGATAGCTAAAGTGAGGGAAACTGATTTGAAGGTGAAATTGCACCATAGCAAAGCAATGAACTCTTGCCGATCTGAAAAGAAAGCATCGAACGGCTTTTGATATTAGTATGTGTAGAATAGGCAAACCAACAGGAAGATGATTCTAGTTCTTTTCCCTTTACATTCAATTCTATCAGCCAAGACGACATTGACAGTGAACGACTTTGATATATTTGAGAGATTAAAGTGATTAGGAATTCCACAATTCAAACACCTGGTTCTGATCTTCATTTCTTACAATTAGGAGAAACACTAATATTTAATACCGTACCACCAGCAAACAGGCCTCATTATATACAAAGTGGCATATTGATCAACTGGACTGATGCAAGAGGAGAACAGAACTCCCACAGAATGTTTATTTTAATAACATTGTGTTCTTTAATACCTTTTACCCTTACTAGTACCCATTTTTTCATCCGTAATTATCTCTGTCTTTAGG